TAACCTGGCCCCCAATTTACTTTCATTCTGACAGATTTCTGACATTTAAAGAAACATTGGTTGAGGAGTTTTGCTTTTTTCTTTCTTATTGCTGTGGTATAATTCATTTTTAATTGTGCCTCAGCTGGAATCTCACGAGAGTAAACCGTAGTCAGAAAAGACAATATTTACATTTATTGCTGACTGGAAACCCCTTATAGAGTTTTTGCATGAAACAGAAAAAAAATGAACTTATGATTTGTGGTTTTGATGATTAAAAAAAACAACTAGATAATAGAAACAGAGAGCTTTTCTTTTTACAACCATAGAGTAAGAGATAATTTTGTATTTGCTGCAAAAAAATCAGAAACTTCTATTTCTTTTTATCTTTTCTTTTTGCACTTTTGTCTTTTCTTTTTTCTCTCTTTTCCTTTCTTTCCTTTGTATTGTTTTTGTTAGTTTTTATCTTCTTTTTAAAACTATACACACACACACACACATACTGTGTGTGTGTGTGTGTGTGTATGGAAGTAAACTGTAGTCCAAAGAATAGGTTGTTTCAGCTATAATAGGTAACATTACTACACTTCTGAAAATGGGAATTGAAGAGCAGGGATGCAAGATTCAAATTAAACCATTTTAATAGCCTCTCTTTCCCCCTAGTTTCCTACCCTGGAATCCTATAGCTGTATGTGTGCAGAAGGCTGTTGTGATGTCTTGCTTGGGAAAGACAGGGACATAACCAGGTCTCTCTTTTCTCCTCCCAAGGTGCTCTGGTATTGGGGGAACCAATCACAGCCAGTCTGGGAACTGATGGGACTCATTATTGGAACAAGAATTGGGCTAAGGCTGCAGCGTTTGTGACCTCACCACCTCTGAGTCTGGATCCTACGACACCTGATCATTTGACGTCACTTTTAGCATGGTATGAAAAGGCAGCTGTTAGCAAACTATGGGTATCAAGCATCATGCTGGAGATATTATGGTTAGTCCTCGGGCTACAACAGCAATTGGGACCAGGATTGCTGTTGCTAAGTGATGTGGTCATAAAGGGCAACGTCATGTGACCACATTGCTTGGTGACGGCAATCCCGGTTGACATCATAACCCCAGGACTGCATGGGTAGTTGAGTGGGAAGAGGTGAGAGTCCCGGGCAAGGAGTACGTTCATTCGCTGGCTCCTCATTCTACCGCGATTGCTGGCTCCCCTCTCAGCAGAGCCATCTTCAGTTCACCGTTGCTTCCCCAGAAGTCCTGAACTGATTTAATTGAGCAGAGGAGTTGGACTCAGTGGCTTAAATGGCCCTTCTATATTATTTTATAATTCTATGATTCTATAGCTTTCCTTCAGAAAAAGATCTCTAAGAATATTCTGGGGAGTAAGCTATCACTGAAGTGAAATATAAAAACAGAAACAGTTAAAAATGCAGTAACAATGGTAAAATATACCATTAGGATACAAATGCAACGTCGGTTGTGAGAAATGAAAAGTGAAAGCAGCATCTCCTCCATGGATTCTAAATAATTATTTGCCAATTGTATGTGTATATTCTTTCAGTGGTGACCTGCAGGTGACTGGAAGCGGCCACTGTACTTACAGCACGGCCCAGAAGGCTGTTGGGAAAGAAAATTTCACTCTTATTCCAGAAGGAGTTAATGGAACTGAAGAAAGAATGACGGTCGTCTGGAATAAATGTGTTGTAAGTGAAGGCAGTCACTGACTGAACTCTGTTTCGGAACTGTGAGTCTTCTGCACTGTTCAGATGCCCTGGCTGAGTGGTGAAAAGCAGAAGCGGCTGGGATAATGGGCCAGCATGCAGAGGCTTCTCTTCTGAGTTCCAGATAGACTCTCGTGCCTAGGATCTTATGCCACGGGTCTTACGCCTAGGAAAGATCCCATTGCGACCATGGGGCTCCCTCCCTCCTCAGCATATATAGAAATAACTTCCTGCTGATTAGACACATCTTGACTAGACCAGTAGCTGTGCTGGATGCCTTTATCAGGTACCCTTCCCCAGACAGAGCTCCCACAGGAAAAAAACGATTAAGCGCAAATGAATTCTATCGTGGCCCTGTAATGTTGGAGCACGAGGCTAGGAAAATGGGCTCCCCTTCCTCCTTTGCATGCAGATCACCCAACCTTACAAGAGGTAAACCAAGTCAAACTTTACTTTAAAAAACAAAAAGAGAGAAATATAATTTTTCCATTTTAAGTTTAAGTAGGTATGTGCAAAGCAATCACTGAGGGGGGAAATAAAAGTGTTTCCAAATCACAAGCAGTATCTTAGAAGAACCTCCAGCAGAAAAATATATAGGAAAAGATAAAGCTCTGAGTAGACCCCAAGATGATACTGATCTGATCCTATCTGGAAACAACTATGATGTTGTCCAATTTGTATAAAACATGTGAGGGCTGAGCTTGTAAAGAGATAATGTTCCCCAGGGACCAAAGATTAGCCTTAACAAACCCATAGAGAAAAAAATAAATAAATTTAGTAAAGTTCTTAGCTAATTTGTTTGCTATTGTTCAGTAGAATAGATGATCCTTGGAACAGATGTTTGCTCAGGGCCAATCTGTTCCCTGGAAGATCCTTTTAACTGCAGATTCCAACTTGAATCAGAGGTTGGAGGAGAATCAGCTCTCTCCCCACCCACCTGCACCTCAGCCCACAATGTCTTGTTCATCTCCCTCCTTATAGTGTTCACTATACCTAGTTATATATGCAGTTTCTCTTAGGTTATTTATTTATTTATTTACTTATATGCCACCTTTCAGAGCAAAGTTCTTAAATTCTTTTGCATTAAGGGAGTGCTCATTCTGTGCTTATATTTAAAAGCTGTTGTTGTTATGGTCCTTTGAGTTAAGATTTAACTCGACTCCTGGTGACTACATAAACAGGTCCGTACAGTTTTTTGGGCAGCGTTTCAGAAGAGGTTTGCCACTTCCTGTACCTCCCCACAACTTTCTCCTGGCCCAAGGTCATCCAACTGACTTTCATGCTTGAGGGAGAACTGGAACTCAAGCCTCCTCACTTTATCCACTGCACCAAACTGACTCTGAAAAGCTGTGAGTCTATAAATGTGAATCAATGAGAGGGTATTTCAGGGACCTTGGTTACAAAATCCAAGTGTCCCTTGTATTTTTGTCAATCCGTTTGCTTCCTGTTGAGGCATGTGATCCCCATCCCTCTCCACTTGCTTTGAACAGCAGCTTGCAAGGGCTGAGTTTGGGTGTTCTGGAGATGATTAGATGCACAGCTTGGTCAGTGGAGGAATTTATTCAGGGAAAACACGTACATCCCACTTGGTGAGAATCTGTCCTGACTTTCACCTAGCATTCCAATGAAGAGGTAGCTAGGATCTTGCAATGAATAACGAGGATTCTGAGTTCAGAGAGCAATAAAGCTTTCATGGTTTAACAAGCCAGGCACCTGTGCACACACACTGTCACTCCTACACACCCTTCATGACGAGAGCTGGCCAAGCACCGCTGAGAGAACCGGATAAGGAGCATTTTGCTCTTCTGCGCTGCTGGGCAAAATCTCCCTGTGCACAATGTGAATTTCTTGGTTTGTTCATTTCTGTGGCTGGTTTCCTCATTCATAAGGTCTCTACTTTTTCTCCCCATTCCTCCTTGGAATGCATATGTGATGCCCTCACTTCCAGATAATGATTATTGTCTTTGTATGATGCTGCTGGCTTTTTACTCCTCTTATTGCAAGCTGCTGGCTCTAGGCTTCTAGAGATGTTTATTTTCTTTATTACACCATCAGTTTTTTTAAGGGTCAAAGCAGGCGCTACAGCCTCAAAGGGAGAGAAATCTGGTGCCATAAATCTCTTCTTGCCCTACCTGGGAGCTTCTAAGGTCCAGCCTCTGTGGCGACCAAAAGAAAGATCCACTATGGACCAGCTCTTCTGTTTCCCAAACTTTTACAAGGTGAAGTTGTATGGCTTGGCTTTGTGTTTGGATATTGATACCCTTCCAGTCTTCTAAGTGTGTGGTCTTCTCCGGGACCTTTGGAATGCCTGCTGAGTAGACCTGCTAGCTGCTATTGGCAGTTTCCGTGCCTCATCTATACTGACAAAAATACATTCAAACACACACACCCTGAAAAAGAGAGAAGAATTGGTTGGCAATTTCTCCTCCTCCTCCTCCTGGTGGTCTGCTGTGAAAACAGCACAGCGCCAACCTCTGAAAGGTCCCAAAGACTATCTGGGGGAGGAGACTGACCTTTGCAAATGGCACAAGAGAGATACCACTCAAGAGACTGGCACAAAAGGAGGAAAGGTTGCAGAAGAACCTTGTTGGATTCCCAGCACTTTCCCATCACAGATTAAAGTCTGTCTCCTCCTATTTGGCACCCACTTAAATTTGTCCATCTTATGCTATTTATAGTGCATTCACTTGTTCATCACTTTTTTGTTGAACAAACGATTCTGGTTTTGTGTTTTACTTATGCAGACTTACTGTTTTGTAGTGAGAGTAGGGATCAGTTAGTGTCCTAAGATGGTTATCTCATAGTTGAACCAGAAATCAGACTGCAACAAAAGATAAACTGCCTCAAAAAAGAAAAGTAAATGGCATCCCAAATCGCAGATGTTTTGGGGATTTTTATATTATTATTTGTACAATTTATAGTCGGGTTTTTCATTATTAAAAACAATCCCAAAGTGCGGTAAAATTCATTTAAAAAAACAAGAACAGAATCTAACTTTAAAAATTCTTAAGTAGAAAGAATGATGGGGATGATGATACTTTTTGTGCATGTGTATGTGCCTGTGAGTCATTTTTGATACCTTTACCACCTTCTTCTTAGGGCCAAGAGGGAGAGACTGGCCCAAGGTCACCTAGCTGGCTTCGTGCCTAAGGCAGGACTAGAACTCATGGTCTCCCAGTTTCTAGCCTGGTGCCTTAACTACAACAGACTGGCTCTCAATGGAGTACTAGACTAGGTTATGGACAGATGGATATGGGAGAAAGCATTAGGTATCCAGAACTTAAACTCTATATTCTGATAGCTGAGGTAGAGTACTCTGAGTGTTCCATTATTGCTTTGCTTGGAGGGAAACTGGCAGCCAACACAGTGTATTCAGAAGGATAGTAAGTTTATGCTTGGCTGCCCCATCCAGCATCCAAATGCTCTTTTTATCCTGTATTTATATTATGTTTATTTACAAGTGTATGGTAATTAAATTCACTACTATTGCCACTACTACTCCTACCACCTAGTCACAGCATTTTGCAAAAGTTGTGGCTTCCAGGCCAGTAGTGCTTTGCTTCTAGTAGTGATGATGGTTAGAAACATTGAGAAACTTGATTATAATCTCTCTTAGTTTCTGCATCCTTGTGGGGCTAGGATTACCAGCTCTGTGGGCTTCTTCAACACTCCTGGCAAGCAGCTGCAGCTCTGGGAACAATTCATGACACCTTGCCACAACATAAGGACTCCTATCAGCATTTTCTGCTTCTTCTCTAACCCTGCTAACTTCAAGGATGTGTCTTGTCAGCCCTTCAAGGGTTAGGGTAAGATTAGGATTAAGCACAGGTCTCTTGAGTTGGGGGGGGCTGTGTCTTATGAGGAATAGGAGAACGGTATCTGCAGGATGCGCCCCCCCAAGTCCTGCTGTGCTGCCTCAACATGGTGGGAGGGAGGGTGTTCCTGAGAGAGGTGAGTAAAGAATCTGGGAGTATAGACCAACAGTATATACTTCCAGCAGGGTCACCCAAGGATATGAAGGTCATCCCAACTGCCCAGCTAAAGGAAGGAGACACCTATATTGGACAGCAGCAATATAGGAAGATGCTGGCAGAGAATGAGGATATTAGTGACAACCGCAAAGTCATCATCTCATATAGCACAGGAGAAGGCAATGGTAAACCAAGTGGATAGACGAGATAAAGTTATTGAAGATATAGTATTGGATGAAGGGCTCCCAAGCTTGGATGGCACTCAGCATGCTACTGAGGAAGAACTGAGGATTTTTCAGAGGGTTATGTTGTTTATGTTTAAATTAAAGCTTTTGGGACATCTAGCTGTTGATGTTGCCATGCAGGAAAAGAAAATCCGAAGCTGCAAAGACAAATTACAGTAGGAACATTAAACGTAAGAAGCATGAACATGCAAAAGCTCAACACAGTGAAAGATGAAATACAGTAAATCAACTACACATTGACACCTTAAGCATCAGCTAATTGAAATGGACTGGAAGTGGATACTTTCAGTCAGAATGTTGTACTGTTTATCTACTCAGGGTATAAAAATCAAAAAGGGAAAAGCATTGCTTTCATAGGAAGGATATAGCAAGAACCACAGTGGGCCTAACGCAATTAATGACCAAATAATATCAATTAGACTTTGTGGACAACCCTTTAATATGACAATTATCCAAGTTTATTCTCCATCCATTGATGCAGAAGAAGATGCAGTTGATGAGTTTTATGGTCAAATTCAATTTGAAATTGACAGAACATACAAGCAAGATTGCTACTTCAGACTGGAGACTGGAATGCCAAAGCTGGAAATACTAAGGAGGAAAACCTGGTTGGACTGTATGGCCTAGGAAACTAAAATGAAGCAAGAGAACAACTTAAGCATTTTTCCGAATTCAATGGTTTTTTTCATTGCTCTCACGTATTCAGCCAGCCAAAACATGGACATTAGCAGATGTACTACCCAGAAATCAAACTGACTATAATTATTGGTACAAGGAAGTGGAATAGTTTGATTATAATAGCAAAGAAGTAGCCAAGGGCTGATTGTGGAAGAGGCTATAAGAGAGAACTACTCATGTGCAAATTCCAAGTTAAGTTAAAGCAAAAGAAGAAAGCCAACCAGTTTCAACAATCTGATCTTGACGTATACCCACCATTTTCAAGGAAAACATCAGGACTTGCTTTGAAGTCTTGAACCTCAATAATAGGAACCAGAGGAAGTATGGAATGAAATCAAGCAAGTTGTTAAGGATGAATATGAAAAGAGATTGCCAAAGTCCAGGAAACAGAAGAAATCAAGGTAGATGTCAGAACAAACAGTGGAAATTGCCAAAAAGGGAAGCCAAAGCCAAGAAAGACAAAAGATCTCAAGAAGAAACTTAACAAAGAATTTCAGAGAGCTGTTACAAGAGACAAAAAGCAGTATTACAACATCTACAAAGACATTAAAGATGGAAACAGACATGAAAAAACAAGGAAAGTCTTCCAAAAGATCTCTGAACCTTAAACTGGTGTACTAAAGGACGCCAGTGGACTAACTGATTACAAGAAGATCAAACAAAGATGGAAGGAGTGTACTGGAATTCTGTATAGTAGAGAGATCAACATCCAAGACACCTTAGAAGGTATCCCTTCCTTATGAGACCCTATAGTACTAGAAGATAAAGTTAGATCAGCACTCCAGTCCTTACCAAGTTGGAATGCTACAGGAATTGATGCAGTATCTACAGAAATATGGCAAGCAACAGAAAAACATTCTGTAACAGTTCTAACCAAACTATATAGCAAATCTGGAAAATGACACAGTGGTTAACTGATTGGAAGAGTTAATCTGGGGGAGATGGGCAGCATATAAACTAGACAAACAAACAAACAAATACATAAATAAGAGGTCAGTCCACATCCCATAGCAAAGAAAGGAGATTTAACAGAATGTGCATATTACCGTAAACTATCTTTAATTTCCCACACTAGCAAAATAATGTTTAGGATCATCCAACACAGATTAGAGCTGTATATGGAAAAAAAGATGCCAGATGTTCAAGCTGGTTTTAGAAAAGCCTGAAGAACAAGAGATATTGTTGATACATGTTGTATAATTGAGGAAGCCAACAAATACTAACAATAATTCAGTATATGCTTTATTGATTATAGAAGGGCATTTGTGTTGATGTCAAGGTATGGAATGTGGTTAGAAAAATGGGAATCCCAGAATATCTCATTGTCCTCATGCAAAATTTATACACAGATTAGGAAGCCACAGAACGGACAGAACATGGTGAAACAGACTGGCTCCAGGTTGCCAAAGGAGTGAGACAAGGCTATATAATCTCCTCTTATTTATTCAATCTATATGCTTAATAGATATTGAGGGAAGCTAGATTGGAAGAAGATAAGCAAACTTTTAAAACAGAAACATCAATAACCTGTGCTATCCTGGTGAAACTACTCTGATAGCTGAAAATTCAAATTATCTGCAAGCTTTAGTAATGAAAGTCAAGGAACACAGTGAAAAAGTGGGATTAAATTAAATATAAAAAAGACCAAACTCATGACAACAGGTACAGCAACGATTGACAACAAAGATATTGAAGTGGTAGATAGCTTCTGATTTTTGGGCTTGACTATCAGCAGTAAAGGAACAAGCAGTCAATAAGTACGCTGCAGACTAGCACTTGGTACAGTAGCAATGAAGGCCTTGGAAAAGATATTCAGACTGCTGTGATGTGTCTGTACCTATAAAGATTGTAGAATTGTTCAGTCAATGTTTTTTCTGTGATACTCAATGGAAGCGAAAGTTGGACTTTGAAGACGCAGAATAGAAAGAGTATTGATGCTTTGAACTTTCATGTTGTAGAAACATGTACTCCTGGGAACACCATGGACAGTCATGATCATTGAACAATCGAGGCAGATAACCAGGTGCAAATTACCAGATTTTGTACATTTAATGCAAATACGTAGCTCATTTGAGAAGTCCATAATGCTGAGAAAGTAGATGGAAGAAAAGGGCAACCAGCAGCAAGGTTGGATGGACTCAGATACAGTGGCAATGAGTGCACCATCGGAAGACCCAAAGGACCAGGTTGAGGACAGATCATCATGGAGATAATATACGTGATCATTGTAGAAAGTAAAGAGGATGACTTTGATGGAGAGAGGAGAGATCTACTACCAAAGCAGCAGAAAGGGTAACATTGCTTAAGTCCAAACAATGGGAGAGAATTGCAAAAACGTCTCAGACAGACATGATTATAAAAGGAGGCGGAGGGGAAGAATTTGCAAGAGTATGTTACTCTAAATAAAGGTAGTTTTTAGTCTTCCATGGAGTCTACTTCTTGGTCTAGTCTGCCTTGGAGGGTTGACAGTCACTAAGAGTTGACACTGGCTTGATGGCACATAATTAGGCAATCAATCAATCAATCTGTTGGAAATAATCCTGATGATTGATTACCATAAACATGTTCCCCTGAAGGTCAAGGGATTAGGAGAGACAGTTAAGAGATGCAGAATGTTATAAGATGGTTTGCTGCAGGACAGACAAAAGAGAAGGTACAAGTTAATATGATAAAGAAGGAATGCTTTGTAACAGGAACAAATGAAGGCAAGAGGGGTTCCATTTTTATTTAAAGCTAATTAAGATGAAAAATATGGAAGGATATTTATGAAAGTGAAATTGCCCAATATGCTGTTTACATTTGGTTCAATATATTCTCCAAGTCAGGGTCAAGCACAATTTCCACAGTAAGTAATGAAACAGTTACTTAAATTAAGTATGGAAAAATCTCATATTTCGAGGGAATCTAAATGTTCATACAGGAACTATGCAAGGAAAAGCAGGTATTTTAAAATGAAGGAAAAGTATTTACTATATAAACTCCTACAGGATATTAGGCAAGTTAAAGGTTTAATTGACACATAGGAGAGAATGAATCCCCACTCAAATGGCTTTACATTTTGTTCCAATAAGACTATATGTGGGTATTTAAATCTTTACTGACGCAAATTAAGCCATCAACAATCACCCTTTTATGTATCACAGATCTCTCTCTCTCTCACACACATTAGAGCTAAAGTGAAGTCTCCCCTCCCTACTTACTTTATCCATCTAACAGTGCAAAAGAATGTGGCATTCAGAAATACTAAGCTTTGTCTTACAGTCAAATTAATATATGTAATTACTTTTTCCCAAAACATAATAACTTTAGGACATTGCAAGAACAAATGTTTTAATGGAGTGTTATTCTAATTGTATCTCCAACAATATCATTCCTTTTCTATACAAATGCAGTGGGGTCCATTAAGTCCAAAATAATTAAGTTTCATTGAATAAGATGTAATCTAAGATCCACTGTGGAATCATAAAAGTTTTCAAATGTGATGGTCTAGTATTTTTGCCTTATTAGTTACAAAGTCTAAGGTATAGAAAAATACATCAATGCATGTTACTACAGCTCTCTCTTTAACTTCTAATTTTAGTCTACAGGTAAAATGGATGAAAACCAATTTGTTGCCATTACTAGCACTAATGCTGCCAAAATCTTCAATCTGTATCCACGAAAGGGCAGGATTGAGGTTGGTTCTGATGCTGATCTTGTGATCTGGGATCCTGAGAAGGAGAAGACAATCACAGCAAAAAGTCATAAATCGGTGAGAGGAGAATGCGCCAGTTAATGATAATGTAAAATCTGATACTTTCAAAAACTTCAACTTTTAAAATTTAGATTCATAACATATTATTGATGAAATCTTATTTTTTTTCAGTAAGATTTTCAATTTTTGTGTGGAAATGGAATATCAAGAAAGGTTTATTTAATTTACAAAATATTGTTTTGTTTCTTCCAGTCAGAGATCTGTGATTGTGTTTAAACATACTCGTTACATGATTAGGAGGGAGTGAAACAAATTTACCCACAAAATTAAGTATCAAATCTATCTTTTTTTCTGTGCTGTGAAGAATCTGAAACATTAAAGTCTTTATTGAACCTGAACTGGAATAAACATGTAAAAAACAAGTGAGACTTTAATGCTTTCAAGAATATAAGAGTGAAATTTCATGAAGCAAGTTGATTAAAAATCCACTGAAAAAGTGAGGTGGAAAAATGTGATTAAATCATGTCAGAACCAGTTAGAGCCTAGGATGGAAGAAGACTGTACAAGGGATTCTCCCAAGGCTGGCTGGACAGAAATAAAAAAAGCAAATAATTATTGCTTTTTTAAATACACAGTATCTAGCTGTTAAAACCAAGCTCTTGCCATTTTTAGTAGCAGTGGTAACATTTTATTGTATTTTAGACATTGCCTGTCTGCCATTCTTGGTGAGATAAACAGATGGAAAATAGATAGACAAGAGATAATTTTTGGTAGGTTAAAATAATCAGTCAAAATGAAATCGGGTAGAATTACTTAATGATGGAAGGTAAGCACTCATAGAGAATACAGACACGTGACCGAATAAAGATAAATGTAAATCAAGCCAGCACCTAGAAGGATTTAATGGAAACAAAAACTGAATGGAAAGCCTGTTCCCAATGCTGTTGGTGGAAGTGGAAGGGCAGAGACGGAAGAAGCAGAGTGTAAGGACCGCGGTACTCAGTTCCCAATTAAAGCAGCTCTTGTTGAAACCAATGCAGGTTCAAAGGAAAGTTCATTTATTGGTAAGTAGTGAACAGCTCTAGAAACATAGCTAGAACTGAGTCCTGCACGCCAAAACTTACTTTTACCTCACTCCCATTTCACCCCCCCCTTCTGTCTTTGAATTTCTCTTGTGCATGTCGAAGATGTTCCCAGGTTCCCACATTGGTACAACCTTGGGCATTCCTGAGAGCCAGATAATAAGAGCAGGTGGCAGTCGTGGCTAGGAGGGCCTTTGCACGACTTCATGTTGTGTGACAGTTACACCCCTTCCTGGATCAGGAGGACCTCCGCACGGTCACTCATGCCCTGGTCACCTCCGGGTTG